GTGCTACTCAGGCCAGCCTGGCAGCACAGCAGTGAGGGAGGCTGTTACACAGCATTCCAAATGGAAAGGACTGAGCACGAGGTTTAGCACGTGCTCCTGACACCAAATCCCCCCCTTCAAGGCCTCCCAGTGCCCTCAGCTTCTAAGGGGCTCCCCTTTGTTCCCTGGGGTTTGGTTCCTCAGATGAAACCCCACACTGGGTGACGAGCTGGGGGCTGGGGGGGAGAGGCTTCTTTGAAGTCAGCCTGGGGACTCCGTGAGAGAACAATCAACCCAAGGCTTTCCTGTGTTACAGAAACTGGATGCTTAATATCCCACTTTTAACATTTCTCCCAGGAGAGCGCTGATGCTGGAGCTGTGCTGTTTCTTGACATTCTGTTTTCTGAAGATGAGCCTGAATTTGAATAATGAGGCTTTGACAGGAAAGCATCCTTCCTTGCCTTCTCGCTCCGTGCTGAGACTATTCCTCTCCCTGGGGAGACCCAGCCTGGCTGCCAGAGAGCAAGAGAGGCCATGCTCAGGAACAGAAGCCCAGTCAGTGGGGGTGTGGGTGCTCCCCCCGTTGTGCACCTCCCTGTGCCACGGAGGGATCCCAGCACCTCTTACTCATAAAGGCCACACGCATAAGACGAGCCCAAAGGGCATCATTACGTGTGCGTGTCTCACCATTATGTAATGGCTAATTTACCTTAATTACATTAAACTTATAACAAACTTTTATCTCATTCCTAAGCTATTTATGCTGCTTATTCTTTTGCTCTGCCCCAGCTTTCTGATGAGCAATTCCCAGCTGTTGAATAGTGGCCTGTCAAGGCACAGCCTGTTGCTCCCTGGCTTACTTTGTCCTGGAATTTGTTATCCCCATACTGCTACCAATGTGCCAATCCCACCAGGTGTCCCAGTTACCTCCTCAGCATTTTGGGGTACTTGTGGAGCCCACACAGCCATAGCCAGGTTGGTCTCTGACGGCTCTCCCACCCACCACCTTCCTGTGGCCACTCATGCATCTGGTTCCCACACCAGCTGTTAGAGGTGACATTCACCCCTGCTTTCTCTAATCCCCTCAGACTCACATTCCATTCATGAAAGCCCATTAATTCCTGTCTGAGGCTTAAGGACAACCCCAGAGGAACAGCACTATAGCACCTCCCTGAGCCCAAGCAGGATCGGAAATCCAGGTGGGAAAAAGAAGCTCTTTGCAAAGCTCCAGTGGCTCACAGAGTTTCTTCCTCTCTGGTTTCCTCCCCACCATCTCCTTAGGGCTCCATGGGAACAAGTGGCCCTACTGTCAGCAGGACCAGCTGTTCCCTGGATCCTTCTCATCCTTGCTGTCCTCAGCTCCAGTTGCCCTGTGTGCTTTCCTGACCCTTCTCAGTTGTGAGAGCATCTCATCACCCCGGAACCATCTCTGTGACATTTCAATGGATGCAAAGATGTCTGAGGTCTTCATCCTCTCATCTAAAGCCCTCTAGGTTTTGCCTTCTCTGCAACTGAACGAGCAGCAACCTGCATTCACTGGAAGCCTTTCCATGGGAGTTCCATATTCCTCTGGGTTCCTTCAGCCAAGAGGCTGGGACCTGATTTTCTCTTGCCAAGTTCAGAAGTGCCAGAGAGGTGTGAAACACCTGGGATCAGCTCAGGATGTCATGCTCATGCCTGTGCAAGGGCACCCTCCTGTTCAAAGGGCATCTTTAGGATCAGAAGCTGTTTGCTGCAGAATCTGCTGGGATACATTAATTCCTTGGGGTTGTTCTCCCCATGGTGTTTGCACAAGTGGCCACCTCAGAGACAGCAGCCAGTGTGCTTTCATTAAGTCTACAATAATTAAGATCAAAGGCTCAAGAGGCTTCATGGGCCAAACAGCACATCAGGGCAGTGCTGGGGTAATGGTTGGACTCTGTGACCTCGGAGGTCTTTGCCAACCTAAACCCTGATTCTGTGATTCCATCCTTACACTGCAGCACCTGTACACCTCTCCTGTGGGCAGGTGGGTGCTGAGCCCCTACCCCCGGAGCAGCATCCAGCACCGCAGGGCTGTGCAGCAGGACCTGTGCCATCCCCATCTGCCTGACCTGGCAGGCAGAATTCACCAGGCTCCACAAGGCCACCCTGGCACCAGAACACCCCTCACCTGCCCCCGGGGAGCACATCCCCTTCTCCACTCCCCACACGCTCCCCAAATCCCTGCTCCCCACAGCCTGTGCCGCTCCGCCCGGCGCATCCCGGCCCCGCTCCCCTCTCCCGGTGGCGCTGGTGGCAGCGCTGGGGACTTGCTGCCATCCAGTGGCTGCTGCCGCGGGGATGGAAACGGGTCCGGGCTGCCCCAGGACGGAGCCCACGCGTGTGTGACACTGTCTGCACACAAAGGAGCGTGTTTGTGTCGCTGCCCACGCGTGCTCTGGGTGTGCGTGTGAGCAGGGACCTGGTGCAGCTCGAGTCGCCAGGGCGCACGCAAGGACGAAGGGGTGTGTGGACACAGACATCCTCATGGCTGGGAGATGCAGCGGAGGGGGCAGCACGAGCAGGTCGCTTTGCACGGGCACGCTTGTGGTGTCTGCTCTGTCCCCTCTGCGTGGCTCAGCGTCACACACGCGGTGTCACACACGAGGTGGCACACACGAGGTGTCACACACGCAGTGTCACACACACGGTGTCACACACACGAGGTGTCACACACACGAGGTGTCACACACACGATGTCACACACGAGATGTCACACACACGCGGTGTCACACACACGCGGTGTCACACACGCGGTGTCACACACGCAGTGTCACACGAGGTGTCACACACGCGGTGTCACACACGAGGTGTCACACACGCAGTGTCACACATGAGGTGTCACACACACGAGGTGTCACACATGCGGTGTCACACACGGTGTCACACACGAGGTGGCACACACGAGGTGTCACACACGCAGTGTCACACACGCGATGTCACACACGCGGTGTCACACACACGGTGTCACACACGATGTCACACACACGATGTCACACACGAGGTGTCACACACGCGATGTCACACACGCGTGTCACACATACGGTGTCACACACACGGTGTCACACACGAGGTGTCACACACGTGGTGTCACACACACGGTGTCACACATGCGGTGTCACACACGCGGTGTCACACACGCGGTGTCACACATGCGGTGTCACACACGGGGTGTCACACACGCGGTGTCACACACACGGTGTCACACGAGGTGTCACACACACGGTGTCACACACACGAGGTGTCACACACGAGGTGTCACGCGGTGTCACACACGAGGTGTCACACACGCGGTGTCACACACACGATGTCACACACGAGGTGTCACACACGAGGTGTCACACATGCAGTGTCACACGCGGTGTCACACACGCGGTGTCACACACGCAGGTGTCACACACGCAGTGTCACACACGGGGTGTCACACGCACGGTGTCACACACACGGTGTCACACACACGAGGTGTCACACACGAGGTGTCACACGTGCAGGCGAGCCCAGCGCGCACAAGCAGGCAGCGGGGCTGGCCCTGGAGGGAGCTGGGACCACTGCTCTGAGCAGCAGAGCCAGCAGCGGGACAGGGCAGCCAGGACCAGGAGCTGGCCTGGCTCTGCTCAGAATCCTCCCCTGAGGTGGGAGACAGCCCCAGCACCGATGGGACAGGCAGCCACACTCAACCCCTCCCCAAAGGCAGCACAGGGAGGTCCCTGTCCCAGAGCCATTGATTAGTACGTTTCCCTCTCTGTGCAACCTCTAAGGATTGTCCACCCTTGCTGCTGCTGTGACCCAGCCCAGCACAGAAGGATCTAGATGTGATAGGTCTGCTTTCCCCTGGCCAGGCTGTGAGCAGGACTGTCCCCACAGGCCCCCATCACCCAGGGACATCCAGGCAGGCAGGTGGAGCCACAGGACTTTGTTTGATCCCTACACACAGAACAGGCTTAGTGCATCTCCACAGCTTGGCCAGCCTCCATCTTCATCCTCTGACCATGGGAAACTTGGCAAGGGAGAGACTTTGTCCACCCACTTTGCCACTGACTGGACAAGCATTGAGCACGATTAAATTGGTTTCCATACGCAACTGAACATAAAGCAACTTCATTCATATTAATAAAGCCCAAATTTCTGTGGTCACAAGAGTGATTCAAGCAGGGATTTACTGTGTGGCAGCTCCTGGCAGTGCCACAGCTGGGCAGCCCATCAGCAGTGTTAATTAAAGGCAGAATTGGAAATTATAACCATGGCTGTACTGCTTCTTCTCTGTGATAAGTTATAATCTCCCTCATAAATTAACACTTATAACGCCTCCCATAAATTAACAAGGGTAGGGAAGAAACGATCCTGAAACTGCAGGGGCTTTCCAGGGAAATGAATCGCTTTGCAGGGATGATCATTTTTTAATATCCCAAATTAGGTGGTTTTGGAAGTGCCACTGCTGTGTCACACCTCCTCCATCAGCAGCTGTCAACACCACGGCTCTTCCACCTTCACAGCAGAGGCTGTGAGGGATGGGAGCACTCACCAGCCCCAGGGCAGGGGAGGGTGGGGGACTCTTTGGGGGTCATCCTGGAGCAAACATAAGTCCCAGAATGCCAGAAGCACCGATGGGGTGGTGGAGCAGCCCCTGTGTCTTACAGAGTGGCCACAGGCAGGGGTCAAATCAGCAATCATCCTCGGGATGCTACCACAGATCCCCAGGCCAAGGAGGTCTCCAAGGCTGCCTAACTGCTGTGTGCCCACTGCAGGAATTTTAAGGCAGCTACAGGAGGTTGGACAGAAGAAATGGGCTGAGAAAGGGTCCTGAGAGGGGTTGATACCCCCAAAATCTCTCCAGACAAGGTTCAGAGGCTGAGGACCTGCTTGGTACCCAGCCAGCAGGAGTCAGGAGAGCCCCAATGTGCTCTTGGGCCACTCCAAACATAACAGATCCACAGCCCACTGTGCTCCCATGTGACCATTCAACCCCCAGAGATGAGCCTGGAGGGGGATGTATCTCTTACCTTTCCATCTGGACACTGGGTTTCCTTCCAAAAGGGCTGAAAAGATGGATTCACATCCAAAGGCACTGCTTATAGCTCAGAATGCTCAAAGCTGGCGTTTACTGCCATGGGGAGGCAGCTCACAAGTCCTGAGGGAAAGATATAATGTCTTGTTGAATATTCCGTGACTTGCACATTCTTTCAAATGCCACCAAAAATAAGACATCCCTGGTACTTGCTGTGCCTGCCAAAACCAGTTGGAGTACAGAGAAGCCCCACAGGGGTGAGGATGAGGAGGGGAAACACACACACACACAGACATGTGCAGGCACACAGGTGTCTGGGAGAGGCTCAGGGCTGGAGGCATTTGCGTCCCCCTCCAGCCCACTGCAGGGAGGAGGGATGGCTCCCACCACCTCCTGCTGACCTGGGATGTTCCTGGTACAGTCCAGAATCCCCCTGTGTCTCATGTCCCACCATCCCACCTCCTCCCCAAGCCTCAGCAATGCCCTGTGTCCTCTATTCCATCGGCCAACAGGGTAAGAGCCAACAGCTCCAGAACTCATTTGGGTTCATTTCATCCGTGGCCGAGCAGGAACGGGGTGATATTCCTAACACCAGCAGGGAGAGGGAGGGAACAATTTCTCCAAGTGCCTGGGAACATATTGAGAGTCACAGGCTGGAAATGAAGGCAGGAAGGTGCAAAGCTCTGGGCATAGGAGAAGGGGGCACTGCCTGGGGGTGGCTCTGCGGGTGGCTCATCACCCACAGCTACTCTTAGAGGAGCAGGCACCCCAGGAGGGGATATTCACTGTGGTATGACGTATCTAATTGCAGCCATGGACATTATCCCCCTAGGAGAGCAATTCTTCCTCACCAGAGGGAAGCACAAGCTATTTTACTTAAAAAAAAAAAAAAAAGAAAGACAGAAAGACAGAAAAAAAAGCTGAAAATGCCCAAACAGGACATTTTAAATGACTTTCTGGAGTGCCTCACAGACAGGAAAACATCCCAGCCTGGCACAGCATGACTCACCATCCCTGCTTGGGAGGAAGGTTCTGGGCTGCACTTGTTTCAGTGGGAGCACTGTGTCCTGGCAGAACCCCCTGTTTGGGTTCTGGATGTGGGGGGAGTGCAGCTCATGGGTCCAAGAGGAGGAGCAGCAGCTCTGCATTCGAGCCCACTCTCAGGAACGGCAGGGCTGTGCCAGGTGGCCATGCCATGGGCACCCAAACCAGGGGACACAGACCAGGAGAGGAGGAGCTGTCTGCATGGGGGACCTTCAGGGTGGGCACAGAGGAGGTGACCCAGGCTAGAAAATGCTGGATGTGGGAGAAGATCCAGAAAAACTTGGCAAGGAGGAGGAATGGGGACTATTTTTTTATTTTTCCTGCAAAGTCATAGTTTCTCACCATCTGAATTGCTGCCTTCAGGAGTGCAGGCATGGGATGGCCGTGCCAGGGAGACACCCTTTTACTTGGAGCAGTTGGGAGGAAAAGAGCAGGCAGTGGGCAGGGCAGAGCCAGGCAGAGCTCTGGGGAACAGTCCAGACAGGACTCCCCAAAACCAGGGTGGCAACAGCTGGAGGCACCTGGACTGCCATCTCTGCCAGCTGCAGATCTAGGGCTCCACCACACACGAAGCTTGGGGAACTGCATTGGTCCTCATGGCCCCATGCACAGGGGAAAGGGCTGCTCTGGTGCTCAGGGGAGCTGCCCCATGCACTGTGATGGGCAGTTCTGGGGTGTCTCATCTCCCTGAATGGAGGAGGCCCCATGCAGGGTGACAGAGACTGCTGGGTCCCCATTCCCCTGCATGTGGAGTCAGGCCCAGACAGGAGAGCAGAGCCATGCTCACGCAGCCCTGGGGGCTGTCCTGATCTCCCAGGGGTGCTGCAAAGCTGTGGACTGTTTGTTTAACTCTGGGAAAAGTGAGACAAAAGAAAGGCAGCACCTCCCTGGGTCCCCACGCTGGGTGCTGGGCAGCAATGCCACCCGTGTCCGAGCACATCCCTGCTCCTGTTCAGGCGGGGTGTGGGGAGGGGGGGGCGGGCGCCCTCTCCACAGCCACACGTGCCCCCCCAGACTGCCCACCCGTCGCCCTGCGTGGCTGGTGGCTGACGTCAGGCAGCAGATGGATCCTGTGCCTCGCAGGCTGGCGTGGGGGTGGCACCGGTGGTGCCGACAAATACCACGGCTGTGACGGCGCTGGTTATTCTTAGCGCCCGCGGAGGCGCTCAGGGGGTCGCCTGGCAGGGGGGGTTGGCACCGCCGGGCTCCCCTGGAGCAGATGGCCCATCGGCATGAGCCAGCTCCCACCAAGGCACCACCAACAGGGAAGGAAAAGGGAAGGCATCACAGGCAGATTGCACCGGGAGCCCTGCCTGGTGCTGCCCCGCCTGCAGCAAGGTCTGCAAGGAGATCTGGAGACCCCCTGAGAATAGGACACAGTGCAGTCCCTTCTCCCAGACTCCACAGGGGGAGAGTCCTTTCAAAGTGAGCACTGGGAAAAGGGGCTGTGGAACCTGGACAGCCCCACAGCTCTCAGGCAGACAGATGGTACACGGCTGGGTCCACGGCCAGCACAGAGCTGGCTAAACCCAGGCCCCCTGCACATTCCTCCTGCACTCTCCTTCGCAGTCCACTACCCTCTCAGTCTGAGGGACTGCAGGAGAAGCTGGAACAGGACTGGAGTCCCTGCCCTGAGCCGGGAACAGAGCATCCCTCATTTCAGCCAGGAGAAGGAAATGCCTTTCAGTGCCAACGGAGGAATGTGGAGCCCCTCCGTGTGCGATGCCCTTCGGGGCCAAAGCTGTTCCTGCCCTCCTGGTGTGCCCCACCCTCTGGCATGTCACCCTGTGCCAGGCACGGCTCAGGGCTGTCAATGCCATGTCTGGTTGAGGAGCACCTGGGTGCCCTAGAGGGTGTGCAAAAACCATCACTTTCCCAGTCCCGTGAACAGTGGGACCCAGAAAGGTCAGAGCTAAACATAGGAAACCTACTTTTCCAGCTGCCACAGCCAGCAGCGGGGCTGGATGCCTGCTCCCAGATGATCACCTCGAACCACCACGTGGCTCCCGGATCTGGGGCTTTAGGGATCTCGCCGTAGCTTGCACGTGAGAGAACGTGGCAGCCCATGATGTGTGCTGGTTGTGGATGAGAAGCAAAGAATTGATGGCCGGGCAGCAGCAGGGCTGGCATGGGGCAGCCCTGCCCATGGCCAGTGCTGGCCTTGGGGCTGCCACAAGCCCTGAGTGGCAGCTCTGGTGAGGCTGGAGGGGCCACGGGCCAGGCGGCACAGCCAAAGGGCAGACGGAGCCTGGAGAAGCCAGACGACCTGCACCCAGGGCCACCTTCAGTGCCGCCGGGGACGGGCAGGACCGCCGGGCCCGGGGCAGAGCCATGGGGAGCTGGAAGTGGGGAAGGGGGGTGCGAGCCCTGGGCGTCGTGTCCTTCCCTCCGTGCCCACGGGATGGCAGCAGCCTCCCGCGGTCCTGCGGGCACCCGCCCACTGAGCCCGGCGTGGGGCTCAGCTCCGCCCGGGGCGCAGCCCAGGGCGCGGTGAGGGCAGGCGGCAGGAGCCCCCTCCCCAGCTCACGGGGGCCGGTCCCCAGCCGGACGGATGGAAGAAGAGAAAGCTCAGCACCCTGCTGCTTCCGCGGTCCTGGCAACAGTGGGGTCACCAGGGACCCCCTCACCAGTGGTGGGGTCATCCCGGGATGCCCTCGCCAGCAGGGAGGCTCACAGGGAACCCCCTCACCAGCCTGCTGCCAGGCTGTTCCCACCCCACACAGGGCAGGCGGATAAGGCTCATTGCCCTTCCCTCCTTCATCGCCCACTGGACGGGGTGAGGAAGCACCACAACAACGGCCCTCACCAGTGCACAGAGGGAGGGCACATTCCTCCGACAGCCTGTGGGCCGTCTGTTCTTCAGGAATTCACCTGTTTTCGACATCACCCCAGGATTGACAGTTCCCCCCATCCACAGATGGATCCCCGCTAGTGCCAGCTCCACTGGGAGCCGGATCCTGCCTGTCCCCAAGACCGACGGCCTGGCACGGAACGGAAAGAACTGCCTGAGGTCGCTGTGGCCACTCTCCCAGCTGTGGATCTGTGGTAGCCGCTGTCTCGTGCCTCCCCTGGTTACTATCCTGGAAACCACTTCATCCTCATGTGATTCATCTTCCTTCTTCTCGCCAAACAGGCAACGGGAATGTTTACTTGACACTCCTGCCGCTCCTTCAGTGGGAGCAGCTACCCCGTTAAAATCCCCGGCGGGTGCTGTGCTGCCGCCAGGACCCCTGCTGTCCCGCCAGGACCCCCGCTGTCCTGGTGCTCTGGCCTCTTTGCCCAGCTGGATTTTGACCTGGTTTATCTCTCCTTATCAATCCCGTGCCCTTCAGACACGGTGCCATCCTCCGATTGCTGCTTCCTGCACCTCCTTCCACCAACCCTTTTGCAACCTCTCCGTACAGACCCTCCCTCTGCCCTCATGTCCCCCCTGCCCATGGTGGGCTTCCCCAGCCTGCCGGCTCCCAACCTCGGCAGCTCTGATCCCTCGGACCCTTGCCCAGCTCTTGCCCACCAGCTCCCGGTTGTTTTTCTCTCCGAAGGGTAAGGGGTCACCGGGATGGCCCGCAGGGTTCATTGACCGGCAGCGACGGCAGCCCAGCCCCGCGGCCGCCCTCTCACCCCATCTCTTACGTGTGCTCCGGAGCCGGGACCTCGTCACACTCCCGTTCCTCACCCTGAGGATCCCAACCCTGGCCGTCCCCACCTCTCTGCGGTGTTGTCCCAGCCCCAGCCCCATCAGGGTAGCACGATGTGCCCCGGCCACTCTTTGCCAGCCCATCAGTGCGGGTCACTGGTCGCAGAAGCCTTCCCTCTGCGTTGCCAGGGAAGCCACATATCCCTCTCTCAGAAATCCCCTTTCCCCCTCGCATGTCCCTGAACCCCCGGCATCTGCCGGCGAGTCCCAGCGTGCCCCACATCCACGGCCCCCCGGCTCCGTGCGTTCCACCCATGCCAGGTTTGTCTCCGGGCAAGGAGGCTCCCATACGTTCTCAGCAGCGGGACCGGGTCCCTCCTGGCTTTCCCCCCCCACTCTGGGGGCTTTTATCCCCTTTTCCCCCTTTTCTCCCCCGGCTCCGGAACCACGCGGGCTGCCCGCGCCAATGCTTCAGCGACTGATGCTGCGGGCAGCTCCTGCCTCCTGAGCCCCCCCGCTCAGCCGCCCTGGTAAGCACAGAGAGGGGCGGGGGTCCCCGCCGAGAAGGGGGGCACCGTGTCCCTTTGTCACCCCATGTCACTCCTTGCCAACTTCTCCCGGACCCACGCGTGGGGTGGGTGCGCGGCGCTGCCGCGGGGCGGTGGATGAGCGGGGCCGGGGCGGAGCGGGACTGTGGTGGAGCTGAGCGGGGCGGAGCGGGGCCGGGCCGGGCGGAGCGGGGCCGGGAGGGAGGGAGGAGGAGCGGGGCCGGGGCGGGGAGGAGCGAAGCGGAGGCGGGCGAAGCGGGGCCGGGGCGGGCGGGGACGGTGCGCGGCGCTCGGCACCGGGCGCGTCCTGCAGCCGCTCGCCCTCCTCGGCCCCGGGAGCGGCCCCGGCGGCGCCGCCGTGGCCAGGCACGGGGACACCCGGGATGTCCTCGTCGCCCGCGGAGGAGTGCCGGTCGCCCGTGGGGCTGGACTGCTGCAGCTGCTGCCTGGACCTGGCCAACCGGAGCGGGCTGGAGGAGGGGGCCGGCGGCGAGAACAACAACCCGGGCAGCCCCACCGTGAGCAGCTTCCGGCAGCTGCGGGAGCAGCTGGTCCGGCAGAACCTCAACACCGACAAGCTGAGCTCCATCATGCGCCAGGACTCGCTGGAGCCCGTCGTGCGGGACCCCTGCTACCTCTTCAACCAGGGCATCTGCAACAGGAACATCGACCAGACCCTGCTCTCCATCCTCCTCCTCTTCCACAGGTGGGTGTCACCGCCGGGGGCCGGGGGGCTGCCGGGGACTGGGAGCCCCGGAGCTGGCAGCAGGCTCCGAGCTGTCAGCAGTGTGGGGGGCAAGGCGTGGGGCCTGCAGTCCCCCCGGGCTGGCAAGGGACGGGGACTTGTGCGACCCCGGGGCTGGGGGGTGGCAGCGCCGGTGGGGTCTGGGTGGGGAGAGGCAGGAGCAGCCGCGCGTGGCACGGAGCCTGTGGGTGGTGCCAGCCCATCCTTGGGTGCGGGTCTGGGTGGCTCTGCTCCACCGTGCCCCTCTCGTGGTGCCCCGTGTCTGCTGGGCAGTGACAACAGCCCCCAGCTGTGTGTCTTGGCCGCTGGACTCTGTGCTCGTCTCCCTGGCTACCTCTGTCCACACAGACAGTGCCCGCAGGGGCATGGATAGTGTCCAGCGACAGTCAGATCGGCCCCATTCTGCATGGAGCGGGTGGCAGGTTCCTTGGGAAGCAATTGTGCTGCCTCAAAAGCCACCCTGAGTGTCAGTGAGACCCTGAGTAGGGAGTCCACGACTCCCAGTGCCAGGTCCTGCCCTTTCGGCAGCTCCCCTGGTTCTCCCCAGAGTAAATTGAGTGGAGACAGGTTTGGCATGGGTGGTATTTCCCGTCCCTGGAAAGTGGCTCTGCCCTGACCGAGCTGCCCTCACTGGGCTCTGGGCTGTTCTGGGTGGGCTACCTGTGACCCCACAGTGGGATGTGCTCGAGGCTGTTCCCATACACTCCCTAGGGGGCTGAGGAGGCAGTACTGTGGGGTCCACGCTGCTCCCCTGCTCTAGCAGTGAGGGCAGAGGAGACTGAACAGGGGGTCCCAGGGGCTGCCACTCCGCAGGGTCCCCATGTCTGACAAGGTGGACCCCAGGGGCAAGGAGTAGACAGAGCTGTCTGAGGTCCTGCACCGATGCTATGTGGGCCTGGCCCCTGTGTCCAGAACCCGGAGGACCGGTGACTCTGTCTGGGGGACCAGCCTGTTCTGGGGTGGCAGGTCTGGGTCTTCCCGGCTTGGCCTGGCAGAGCCGAGTTGGGCCGGCGGTGCCGAGGCTGCCTGTGGCTTCAGCAGGTGGGACGCATTACCCACCCCCGGGGCTGAGGGGACCTGTGGCCCATCAGTGCGTCGGGGGCAGGTGTCTGCGTGGCTGGCAGGGCAGGCAGCGGCTCTGGCACTCGCTGCTCCGCTGGGGGGGTTGGGGGGGAGTGGCTCGCAGCGGGGGGTGCGCGACAGCACCCACGCGTTCACAGACACCTCGCCATCCCCTTCCCTCCCTGCACGCACATGCACCCGTGGGCGCGCTCCCGTGGGCTGTGCGCGGGCGGGCGAGCCGCCCCTCGTCCCCTCGCCCGGCGCGGGAGGCGGGTGGGCTCACACGTGGCCGCCCCACGCGTGCGAGCCGCCCCGGCGCACGCCCGCCTCCTCGCCCAGCCAAGCGTCTGACGCCGGGAGGCTGCTGCCTCGAGCCGGCCTTGGCGACGTTCTTCCTGCACTTACATAACGCCGAGCTGCCGCTCAGGTGGGAAAGGAGGAGCTGGGACACCCGCCAAGGCACCGGTACCCGTGCAGGCAGCGAACCCACCCGGCTGGGAGAGGACGGGAGCGAGAAGTTCTCCTGCCCACTGGGGAGGCTGCAGCCAATTGGCACCACGAGTGAAGGGGGGAAGTGAGATGCTGTCCCCAGCGTGGGCTGCCAGGGCTGGGGTCAGAGCCAAGCACCCGGGCTGCTCGGTGGGACAGGCAGTGCCCGTGGGCACAGCGGGCTGCTTTTGAACTTGTCCCTGCTGGAGCAGGACCCAAGAGCTCTTGGTTAGCACCTGGTGAGCTTCTGCTGAGGTCGGGAGCTAGTGGAGGGGCCAGGGGACCAGGGTTTCTCCCCATCTGTGCCCCTCAGTGCTTGTGGCTGCCTGTCCTCCAAGCCCTGGTGTGTGTTGTGTCCCGAGAGGCTCTGGGCATTCCCTTTTGTGACACCCCTGTGGCTCAGTGTGGCACAAAGCCATGTCCCTCCATCACACTCAGTGTCCAAGCGCCTTGGTCTGGAGGCTGCCTGGGTGATCCCTGTGACCCTGGGTGGCACGGCATGGGGAAGCTGGGTGCACA